TATTGTGATGTAACTAGTCAAGCAAGAGAAAAATGTTAGGTCTTGCATCCCGAACTGAAACCAAAGTTCCCAAAGGAGATTAAGGGTCATTGAAAAAATTCACAGACTTTAACTCACAAAGCAAACCATGTTGCTGCTTCTACTGTTTTTAAACCATCAATTGAGGGTATGATGAATTTCACATCCAATCCTGTGGCTCTATTCAATGAATTTGCTGTATATCTTCAAAAACAAAAATAAAAAATAAAAAATAAAAAATGGAATGGTAATGGTAATGGTGAACAAATGACCAGTTTGGACCTGAAAACTCTACTGCCCTACTTGGTAAATTCACAGGTTTTCTTGCTGAGATCGATGGCATATCATCCCATAACATTCCAGGTATTTTAGAGGCTTTCTCTACTGCTAATCAAGTTTCCCTTTTGCATAATTATTGGAGACTAGACTTAGGTGCCACAGATTACATGACTACTCAAATTTCACATTTACATGATTTTGAAAAATTGTCCAAACCATCTTAAGTCTCAGTTGCTCATGGGAAAGGGAAAATTAGGTGCTTCAATTTTAGGGAAAGGGAAAATCAATTTGATTTCAAAAAATTTAAAGTTATGCTTTTTATGTTCCTTCATTTCCTTGCCATCTCTTATCAATTGAAAAAATCACAAACTCTTTGAATTGCCTTGCCATATTTTCACCTCATAGTATCATTTTCCAAGACATTGTCACTAGGAAGAAGATTGGTGATGGCTTTTACCTGAATGGATTGTACTATCTATCTAAGGATTCTCAAATTTCCAAAAGTTTACAAGTAAGTTACAGTCCTACTCAAGACCAACTTCTTTGGCATCAATGCTTAGCTCATCCTTCCAAACTGATGTTTTCTAAATTGTTTCAAATTTCTTGTAAAACCTCAATTACTTGTGATATTTGTCACTTGTCGAAGTCTGCTAGGTTCCCTTTCGACACTTCTATGTCAAGTCTGGAAAGTTGTTTGAAATTGTTCACTTTGACATTTGGGGTCCAGCTTTTGAATCTTTTGATGGATACAAATATTTTGTAACCTTTGTTGATGATTACTCAAGGATTACTTGGTTATATCTTTTAAAATTTAAGAGCGAATTGTTGAATGCATTCCAGGATTTCCATCGCCTAGTCACCACACAAATTTCAACCACCATTCACACTTTAAGGTCCGATAATGGCACTAAGTATATGTCTAATAACATGTCACAATATTTGAGAATGCATGGTATTACACACAAAACAAGTTGCATTGGAACACCCCAACAAAATGGCATCGTAGAGAGAAAAAATTGAGATTTGCTTGAGAAAACTAGAGCCCTAATGTTTCAAATGAATGTACCCAAGAACTTCTGGTCTCAAGGTTTTCTTACTGCTACCTATCTTATTAATCGATTGCCTAGTCGTGTACTAGATTTCAAATCTCCCTACGAAGTGATGAAGAATAGAAAGATTGATTTTGTCTCACCTAGATGTTTTTGGATGCACAATTTATGTTCATAGTTAGGCGCCAAATCGTGATAAACTTGATCCTCAAGCTACTAAATGTTTGTTTTTGGGATACTCATCTACACAAAAGGGATATAAGTGCTACAATCATACCACCAAGAAACTTGTTGTATCTCGTGATGTTAGATTTGATAAAGGTACACCTTATTTCAATAAATCTTTAGAAACTAGTGTTCAAGGGGAGCTTGTTCTTGATCTTCTTCCCTTGCCTACTTCTAACATCAACCTTGACATGTTGCTCTAGCTCCATATCACGATGATCAAGAAGTCTCAAATCCCACTGCCATTCCTAAAGATAATTATTCTGAGTCATCTAGTTCAATGCCTTATGTGGACTTTTCACCATTGCCTTTAGTCCCAGTTAGAAGAAATTCTACTCGTGATAGACACCCCCTACAAAAGTTACATGATTATGTCATTTATCATGCACGGTATCTAGTTAATTCACTTACATATAACATGGTTTCATCTTCTCATGCCATTTTTTTAGCAGAATCTCCAATGTCCAAAAACCAAGGAATTTTCAAGAGTCAAATCTATTGAGTGAATAGCAGAATGCTATGGTAGAAGAAAACAAGATTTGGAAGATAACACGGCCGCTTGAGCGGCCAGGCTCGCACCTATTGAGCAGTGAGTGACGTCGAGTACTAGTCAAATGATGGTTCAGTGCTCAGGCACTGAATCTCTGTCCAAAATTCATTTCTTTATCCCAAATGGTGCCTCTCTTGACACCCAATCTTTGTCCTATATATCCTTTAAAAATATTTTGACCTCCTTAACTCCCTTTTTCAACCAAAACACCAATATTAAACGAATTTGTGTCACATATTAATAAATCTTTACCTTGACACAAATTTCACTACGGCGAAAAAAGCTCCAAAAATTATATACCTGGAAATGAATTCCACTACAAGGAATATAACTTGGCTCTTCAACAAAAATTCTCCAAAATTTTCCGACATACAAAATTTCTACATCTCTTTCACAAAATCCAATTAGGGCACACTCAATAATTAAAAATCATCTGAATCCAAGCACTACTTAACATGATTACCTTGGGCATTAAAGTTGCTTGAATTATCATCACGAGAAAAAAATCACAAATAATTCATAAATTACCAAACAAGGCAGAAATATACACTATAATAGAATCTACACAACTAACTACTTCTGTAGAAGGTTCTTTACTAGACTCAATATCTTCAATCACGTTTAAAGCATACATAACTAAATTAGCTACCACGTACTTTTGTGGAGGCCTAATATATCCCTTAAGCCTGTCTCTAATAGTTGAATACGATAGCACTGTTGGTGGTGGTGGAAAACGGCATTAGACATTACTTCTGAATTCAACTGAGTTGAATTCTTCAATGTAGATCTCAAACCAAAATTCAACAGAATTATGCCAAACTACACCAATGTACTTAATCTTTACTTACTATTATCCAAAGATTTTATAGAACTCTATAAGACATATAACTGGCTTTTCAAATCTAGGACATGTCTCACCTTATGAAGTGTTCTAATAATTCCATCAAACATTTAAATTTTGACCATTCCAATATTAGCTATTTTACAAAGTACATTATTACCCATTACTACAACACATTTCGAAACTGTTTTATATGTCAAAAATAAATCATGATTGGTACTCATATAAAAGTATATTAAAAATCCAATTTCCATCAAGTTTGGAGTCACTGTTAGAAATAATCTAAAGTTCCATCACTATAATAGTTTTCTACAATTTTGACTTCACCTGAAGCTTCTGGTTGCTTTCCCTTATGATTTGCAGCCAATTTTCCTTATATTGCAACTTAATTGCAATATTTCTTTATGTGCCTTTCTTTTGGCAATATTTACTAATTTGATTACTGCCCCTTACATAACCACTATCAACAATGTCATCTCCATAAGCCTCATATCCAACAAAATTCTTCACTTCTTCTTTGAAAATAAAGCATCATAGACTTCTTCAATAGTTAGAGTATCACAAATATATAAGATTGTATCTATAAAGACATGTATGAAGCGGTCAATGAGCACAACAAAATCAACCCCAAATCCTCTACATAATACTCAACCTCTAAGGTTTTTAAATGAATGACATTTTCTTTAAAAACAAGGTGATTTTCTAACTATCTACCTTCCGTCATACGATGAGAATATGATCGCTACTTCAAATGCAATTTGCTAGTTAGACTTTTCTTCGTGCATAATTGCTCTAATTTCAACCATAATGTAGTTGTAGTTTTCTCCTTCAAAACATTTCGAAAGATGAAGATATATGTGATAGGCCTTGCGATCCTTTCGTTGCTTTTCCTCTAGTGTCCAATTTGTGGACATCTTCTCAAATCCCAAAAAAGCATAATCCAAATCCATCTGAGTGAGTACTGCTCAAATATTCACCTACCACGACAAAAATCTAGTGCTACAATCCGAAAATGAAATATTATATTTCATGGATGCCATCATAACAAATCGAACCTTGAGCTCTAATACCACTTGTTAGGAATTAAGGATGATACTATATGACATAATATAAAATAAAGATAACAACACAAGAAGAGCACAAGAAGATCGATAGAAAATGAGAATTCAATATAATATGAAGAAAGAACATAGAGATAGTGTTTACAATAGTGTCTACCACTATACAAGGCCAAAATCATGTAGAAGATATATAGGACCCAAAAGGACATATTTTAGATGGAAAGAGGATAAAAAACGAGTCAGAAAAATGAAAACAAAATTTTCTTGGATAACACGACCGCTCAAGCGGCTTGCGCTCATTCAGTGATGACCGGTGCTTAAGATCCAATAGAGTGGCAAGCGATTAATAGTCCAACGCTCCGTCTAACACTAAATCTTTGTCCAAGATCTGTTTCTTTACTCGAATGGTACCTAGGCACTTGGGCTTCTATTCTCTGCCCCAAACATCATTTAACCATATTTTGACATCTTGAAATGAATTTGGATCACAAATTAACATTAGACCAATATATAAGAGTTTGTATTACTCTTTTTAATAAGGTTGATATTTTAAGATAAAACCCCAAATAATTGACACCAACGAGTAAAATCTCCTTGTACTTCAAGACCCCACAGTAACAATAAAGAATGCAAAAAAAATCCCGAACTTGGTATGCTATTGGATGAGCACAGAAAATATGATCCTAATATTACTGTTAACATAATAATCTAGATCTCGTATTCAAAGTTCCATTGACAACTATTTGTAGAATAAATGAATACATCTATGCAAGTTTAAGATTTTTGACGAAATTCTTGAACAATTATTATTATTAAGCTCTTGTTTGATGGAAATTAAAATCAAATTTTTAATAGATTTTGATAAAAATTGATAAAATATGTCGTTGAAATGTTGTGAAACCCATGTAATATGTGATTAAAATTAATTGTTAAATTTGATTTAGATTAAAATTTGTATCAAACAAGGGCAAATGTAATTTTTGACATAAAGAGAAATCTATATATACTATTCTTAAAACCTTATAAATCTACAATACAAGCGATTTTAATCTACGTTCAGTACATCGAAAAATACTATATTACAATTCTTAAACATTACTTGCTGATATCAATTATCAAATCTTAAAAGACTTTCAAGATAATATCTTCCTATTGACAATGACAAATGAATTAGCCACTTTTTGTACAGTTTCTACTTTTTGATCCTCATCCAATCTCCTAGCAAGATTTTCATTGAATTTCATGAACCGGATTCACAAAAATTGGCTGATAATTCCCTTGAAACTTCATGCCATCTGTGTATGGTTTCTGCACTTGTCCTAACCTTAATGTCTCCGAAAGATTTACATTGCTGCTCACTGGGTTCTGATTATCAAAGGGCATATTATTATTAAAAGAATTGTCATTCAAAAGATGGGCAATTGAACCCATATAACCATATTCCCATAGATGAGTCAGGGAACAAGTTCTGGGAAATTTTGATGCTTCACTTGTTGCACTGTCAAGAGTTACGATTTGGGCTATTGGATTTTCAGCTTTCTGCTCAGCACCTTTCCCCAAATTCTTTTTCTTGTAAATTCTACATAACACCCAATCAGCCAGCTGATAGACATGAAACATAAAAGATATATGGATTCAGTTCATTGACTCGAAAATGACCTAATGACATGCTTTTACATCAAATTGAACATGATTAGAAAATACAAGATGCGTGAAATGTTTGCATTTTGTCATATTTATAACATGTTTAAGCTTAAAAACTTTACTTGTAAGTAAATAATAAGAGTGCGTTTAATTTATCATTTCGAGACCATTTTCAATTTTCAGTTTTTGAAAATACTCAAAACATATTTGGTATGTTATTTTCAAATGCAGTTTTGAAAACAAAGAAAATTTTATAACACAAAACTCAAAACAACTTTTTGACGTTTTGAGTGTTTAAAAAAAAAAAAAAAACTCAAAAAAAGGAAATAAAATTTTTCAAATTAAAATAATTAATAAATCACACAAAACTTACCCAAATACAAATACCCCTCTCCCTTTCCCTCTCTTCCCGTGCTCCTCCAAAATGTCATAAAACTATTTCTAAAGTTTTTAAACGAAACATTTTTTCTAATTTTTTGTTTTGAGAAATAGTTTTTCAAAATGACAAATCAAACACTTTTGCTGCAATCTTAAAATAATCTCTCAAAATATTTAATAGAAAATGAATTCAAAATTGAAAACAGATAATAAAAACGTAAACCAAACGCACCCTAAGTTTTAGAACAGGGAATTTACTTATTCTCACTGAAGTTTTCAAAATAAGTAACTTTTGTAAGAAACTGGGATCTTATCCAACTTGTTTGATAAGAAAAACGTACCATTTTCTTATTTTTAACACATCCAATCTAAAGTACCAATATGCAAAAATGAAAGCTCACCCTCATGGAGCCGTTTTGCTTGTTAGGCTGTGATCTCGACTCACTCAATCGATATTCATGCATAATCCAATCTGTCTTTACACCCTTCGGAGGCCTACCCTTGTAAAATACAAGAGATTTCTTGATTCCTACATATTTAGATCCACTATAGATGGCTTTATCAGTGCCTGTGGCTTTCCAATAACCTGAAACAGCTGCTCTATTCGGCCTCAAGCCATTTGGATACTTCCTATCTCGAGGAGTGAAGAAGTACCATTCATTTTCTCCAATTTCCGCTTTGTCTACACCACATATATATCAAAAAAATCAGTATATTATTAAAAACAACAATTCAATTAACATGATCGAGTATTTTAAAATCAGTCGTCAGTGTATTAGAGCAAGGATGGAACTTGAATACGAAAACATGGTTTTAAGAAAAAGAAAACTAAATGCATGTTTAGTAAGTAAGTTATCGATCTAACCAGGCAATTCCCAAGGATCAAACTTGTAAATATTGACTTCTGGAATAATTGCCGCAGGACAAGGCCTCGATGTAGCCTGATTTCTAAGATAATACATGATTAATTCTTCATCAGTGGGATGAAATCTAAAACCAGGAGGAAGATCAGAACTATTTCTTCCTACCATTTCAAGTCTAAAACTTGGTGGGGGTGGGCTGCTAATGGAAGTATATGATGGAAAAAGGAACGAGAATTTTTAAATGTTTGCGAAGAAGAGATGGCTCCACATTTTATATTGGAGAATACTTTGTCATCTTGTGACATTACATCAGATTTATTGGCTGTTTTTGACTTGCATATGTAATGAATGAGCAAATACCGCACGCCATATTATTAAAATATATGCTTTCGTCTTTCTTTTTCCTGTTCCTTTCGCTAATTGTGGATAACACGGGCTAGGCATATACTTTATCCTTCTCTTTTGTTTTTAGTTTTTTCCAAAGTTTTCTTGTTTGTTTGTGGTACTTTCACCAATTTCATGCCAGATACTCATTCCTCAATTTTTTTATAGTAAAATTTATTCGATTAGCCTAAAGAATTTTGGACTTTTAGTTTTATTCAGTTCAGGCATTTATTCTTCTCATAATTGCGTGCAGTATGACATTTTTAATATGTTGGTTCGAATAAAATTTGACGTTACATTTGGCAAATCACATCACATGCTTGTGCAATTAATTGATTAAGTCTAAAAATTCTAACAGCTTGTTTGGGAGCGATTTTTTGTCCCAAAAAATTGATTTTTTAACCGTTATTTCACTATTCTAGCCGCCATATTTGACTTCTTCTTTCACAGGTGGACCCCACTTTTCTCATAACAGTCAAAAAATTAATTCTCAAAATCACTTCCAAACAGGTTCTAAATATGTTAATAGTGCGTGCAAATTATACATAATTAAAAATCTAATGCTGAGGTAGTAAAACTATTGCCAATAAATATGTAGCTTTCAAACCACTTAACGAAATGACACGTGTCAATGCCATTTGCCAAGAAACAAATAGGCCAAGATAAGCATTGGGGAAAGAGGTAAAATTTAGATGAGTTTATTTCTGGGTATTATCATACCACGTCTCAAGTAGGGTTCTTATTGGAGAAGATAAAGTCATAAGCCCCATTGATTTGAACGTGGAATATTATTTTTATATTATTGTTTAATTTTGGTCACACGTTGATTTTTTGTTTTTGCCATTAGATTAGGATCATCTTATCTCACGTCATGAGCATATGGGATAGACGAATTGTAAAATGCTGAAAATAGTTGGTGGATAATCAAGAATATAAGTCTGGGCTGCTTTGTTGATTCTTCTTATTCACGGTACTCTAGCTTCAAAGTGGGTGGGTGAGATAGGTTGTATCGACTCATGTCATTAAGACGACTTATTTAGAGATTTAATATGATTATAAAAGTTGTATCAAGTTAATTTGTCAATATAAATTTCCCTTGTAAGGTTGGCAGTGATACAATATTTCGAACAATGGATAACCAATAATTGTAATAAAGTCATTTGTCACAAATATAATGTTTTAATTAGTCATAGAATGGGAAATTAATTGATATTTACGCAAGATAATAATGATTGGTCTAACATCATACAACAATGTTTTACGAATATTATCCTAAAACTTCCCAGTCTCGAATGCTAGCGAGTTACGTCATGTGCGTGTTTTAATAGTATGATCTAGACATTAAGCTACCATTTGAAAAATTCATAAATTATAAATGGTTGTAGTAAGATTGTAAATAACAAATTATCCATTACCAAGTATCAATGTATAAATGGTTATTTTAATAACAAATTTATAAATACTTTATCAAAGCATCTATTGGAGTTAAGATTGTAATTAATTAGTCTAATTTTTAGAAAATACTATAATATTTTATTATTTAAACGGTCTGATTTAATTTCAAATCACTGTTAATATTTCTAACACCTAAACCACGCTTTTTACTTTGGAGTTGGAATGGTTTGGTTATGTTCACAATCGTTTCATTGATTGGTCCATTTAGTATTAAATCGATGATTTTAAAAAGGCGATTTTAGTGCAATTTTTCTATTTGACGATTTTTGCCTATAATGGTAATTATCTTTACCACTTTTGTTAAAAAAAAAATAATAATAAGATGATGAAGAATGAGGAAGGGAATTTTATTGACTAGGGCTTATTTGGAAATAAACAACAAGCATCTGCATTTTTATTGGAGATTTTTTTTTTTGAGCTTATCTTCAAACTAAACATCAATTAGTTTCTCTTTTGGATATGATAACATTGATCACACTATTACTTGAAGGCGACAATAAATAGAGTCAGGCCTGAGGAGAGGCCCAAGAGGCCATCGCCTCAGGCCCAGCTCTTTATGGGGCCCAAAAAAGTTATTTATTTTTTTTTTTTTTAAATCCCACTAGTTACATTCAAAAGCTTCAATAATTGTCCCACTAAATTAAAACTAAGACCTTATCCTAAATTCGTAACTTCTCCAAAATCCAACCCATTTATACTCATTCACTCTTGCTTCATATAATAAGGCTTCTTCAACAATGATATTGGGGTCAAAATTTCCATCTACTTTATGAACATATTGCACAGATTTTGGGTGCTATTTTTCTTTGACATTGATGGAATATTAAACCTTTTTAATGTAAGATCTGCTAACATCTCCACAAAACTTGTATAGTTTTAGCCCAATCACATAAATAGGAGGTTTGGGTCCAAGAAATTTTATCGTGGCTTTCTTTGAGTGATTTATAAAATTTCATGATTGGTTTATGACTTATGAAGGATTCATGAATATAGTGCTATCCATTGATTGATTGATTATTATATATTAATCTATGTTATCATCCTTTTGAATTTGTCTTATGGTTGAACAACTCGACTATTCAAAATTGATTGATATTTTGTCTTTAAAATCGCAAGACAAATTGTATTTAAGTGTTTGTTTAGAACATTATAATATAAACATTTTGAGTATTTTATATTATTTTATTGTTGATTTTATATTAAAAAATTTAATTCCGTAAAAGTCTTTAAATAAAAATAAAATAAAAATTGATTACTTGCTATAATTTAGGAGCCCAAATTTTAAAATTTGCTCCAAGTTCCGTGAAATACATGTACGACCTTTGACAATAAATTTTCTTGAACAATTATTATTACTTTTTCTTTTGTTTGACCAAAGCGTGAAGGCACTACAAGGCAATATGCTTTGGAGTAGGGCTGTAAGAAAAATTGTAAAATCGTAAAATCGAATCGGAATCGTATTTTAGAAACCGTCGGTTTGGTGCCATGTGGACCTGGTCAATGAGTAGGGCTATAAGAAAAACTACAAAACCGGAAAATCGAATCGGAACCGCATTTTAGAAACCGTTGGTTTGGTGCCACATCGACCCGATCAATGAAATGGTTTTGAACCAAACCAAATCGGTCAAAATGGTTTGATTTAGGTTTGAAAATTTTAATTACGGTTTAAAATCAAATCGGACCGGGAAATATATATATATAATTCATCCAAATATGTAAAATTCAATAGTTTGTCATTTGTGGGTATTTTGTCAATTTCTAATTTTCTAATACACATATATTATTATTACCTAATAATCCTAATTTATATCTAATAATCTCAAAACTAACATAATTTATCAAAAGCCCTTTTTCTCTTTAGAATTCAGATAAACTCCAACCGACACCCAACACAATCTTGAGCCACCGCCACCACACACACTTCTTCTTCAGACTTTTTACGCCACTTCAAAGTTGAATTGTAATCTATTATACAAAATCGAAGACAGATATCCTATGCCTTCGATGATAATATTTGCTACGAATAAAGTTTCAAATCAATAATTTTTTTGAGCAAACTAAGGTAAGAATCTGAAATTAAATGTGTTTCGTAACAATGTACAAACATAAGCTTGTGTATTTGTTATGTTAAGATATTATAAATATCTGATTTATTATTGTGGTTGGTTATTCTCTTTATCTAATCACCAATCTTTTTTTCAAATATGATGATCACGAGGTCTTGTTGGATATCATTATATCTTTTGGGGCTTATATCTCGTTTAGTAGACTTGTATTGTAACGTTATCATAACGTCATTAGCCTAAAAAAGGTGAACAAAAATGAAAAAAATTATGTTTTAGTTTATTGTGATTTCACTTTGATTTAGTAGATATTTAAATTTATAGTAGATATATTTAGCCCCTGTTCGAGCCATATTTTCCATGTTATTAAAATGAGAAAATTGACCGTTGGAGAAAATGTTGGGTCCCACGCATGAAACAACAGGTCAACAAATGCGGTTGGACTTGTGGGATAATGATCCAAATTTTTTTTTGTCCCAAAAATTTGGTTCAAACAAGGGCTTAGATTGTTTTAGTAGTAAAATATAAATATATATTGAATTCAATGAATTAATGTCATAAAAGTAGGTAGACAAAAAAATACGACGAAACTGGCGGTTTAAAATCGGACCAAACCGTTAGGTTTAAGTTTGGGTTTTTTTCAAACCGTTCAAAATGGTTTGGTTTAGGTTTGGGTTTTTCTCAAACCGGTTTAAACGGTTTGGTTTGAAAATTTGTCGAAAACCGGTAAAATCGGACCGCTTACACCCCTACTTTGGAGATTTGAATTTTCAACTCGTTCCACTTTTCTAACGTCAATTTTTCATAATAAAATAATAACATTGAAACTTCGTAATCTTTATGATAATATTAGAAATATCTTTATGTTCAAAAATAAAAATTAGCATTACCTATTTTTCAGTTCTGAGTTTCAATATCATGATTAACCATTTTTCGTGTTGTTTCTCATCTAAAGTGAATTTGATATACCTAAAATGAAATTTTCTACAATTAGTTGTAGTTGATTTACGTAAAGTGAACTATATGATCACATGTTATATGAAAAACTCGTTTGAAATAATTTTAATTTTTATCATATAAATTTATTTATAAGTAGTTGTACTTTTCTGAATATTGTGTTTAAATAAATTATATGCATATACATAAAATAATTATTTATTAACGTAGCGGAATTTCTTTGAAAATTCTTGATTTCGGGCTCGAAAATCAAACAAATGTTGGGATCAACGGGTTATAAAGAATGAAGTTAATGATGCGATATGAAGTTAATATGAATTGCAACAATATAAAAATAAATATCAGTATGAAGAGAATACAACGCCACAACAATATTGA